TTTCCTAATTTCTTCCCTAAATCGATCTCAGCTCTAATTCTTACATCTGAAAAACAACCATGTCTTCTTCTTCTTCATCATTTACTTCTCGTCCAAGGGCGGTTGTATTTTGTAGGTGTGGAAAGCGCGCACAAGTTCGAACTTCTTGGACACAAGATAATCCTGGTAGAAGGTTTTATGGATGTCAATTTTGGAAGGTATGTTAAAATCTGAAAATAAGCCAAATCTCTTGGTTTTCTGGCTTTCTATAAAATTTAATTACTGTATTTTATTTCAATAAATTGATAGGAGGCCACCGGATGCACCTTTTTTAATTGGATTGATGGTCCAATCTGTGAGAGAGGTATAGATCTCATTCCTTCTTTGAAGGACAAAGTTCAGAAGCTAGATGGAGTAATTGCACATTTAGAACAAGGGAGTTTAAAGCTGGAGGAAGAAAATGCGAAGTTGAATGAACAAAAGGCCAATTTGGAATGCGAAGTTTCAGACTTAAAAGAATTGGTGAACCAATTAACTGGGAAAAAGAAGATTCTTCAATCAGCTTTGTTTGTGTCCTGGGCTTTCTTCTTAATTGTCAAGATTTTCAAAAGAGTTGGTTGTTATTAGCTGCTTGATATTAGATGGAATGTTCTATTGTTCAAAGTATAATGTTAGTTTGGCTATGAACTCTGGGTATGAAACCCTTTGTCTGCACTGTTAGTCTATGATTGTGTAATTTGTAATGCACCCATATTTTGAATAGTTACTTTGGGTCTTTGTTATTGAAATATGAATGTTTATTGGATGTGTTATTAGAGGTGTTATTGGTATGTTATTGGTGTGTTATTGGTATTTGGAAAGTTGATGTGCTGGTAATGGAAAGTTGTCTTTCAATGAATACTAAGATTCAATGATCTGTGTATGTTTACTGATCTGTGCATGTTTCAGCAATATCTTAACAGATTCAATACAAATTTTAATTATTCAGAGTATCAAAATTATGGAAACCAAAAATTGTTAACCAAGCATCAACATAAACATGAACATGTTGGTTTACTTAACTCTGACAGATAATAAGCTGATAGTCATGAACATAACACAGGTTTAAACATTGATAACCAACATGAACATGAACATGAACCAATGTTTACTGATTTTACTGATTTTAAGCTGACAGTCATGAACCAATGTTTACTGATTCTATGCCTCAAAACATAGACAAGAACATAACATGTCAAAAACATTGATAACCAAACATTAATATGCAACAGCATATCAGACAAAAAACATTGATAAATATCTTCTTCATTACAAATCAAACATTTCAAAACAAGCCTAATCAAAACACAAACACAAAACAACAACTACATAGCCAATATTTTGTCAACAGTACATCTGCAAAAAAAAAATGTTTGAGGCCAGCAATAGTACATGACAAAACATCACAAGTTAAACAAAACACCATAAAGATCCCATAAAAAAAAGTTAAGGCTTCTTGCTTTCCATGAGCTTTCTTGAATCATTCACAGCAGTAGTGAGTTTCTTAAGGGTCACATATGATCTTCCATCAACTTGAATTGGCTTGGCATGCATACTCTTCTTATTAGTGCACCTCTCAGCACTAGGAATGAAATGTACCCCAACCACATGACCTGGTTCTCTAGTTGCATTGGGTGCATTAGACTGGCATTGTTCATATTGGGCAAACATTGATGATGCAGGCTTTGAAGAACTAGAGCAAGGGAACACTTGTGTTTGTTGGTGTGGGATTGAAGGGAAATAAGACACTTTGATTACTTATCACTGGAATAGTAGGTTCAACAATACTCTCCTGAAAACATGAAGCAAAACCTGAGTTAGTTAGCTGAAATATAAACCATGTTCAACTGGTTCAACATTAGGTTCAAAATGAAAAATATTTCAAAATTAATAGATGATAAAAAAATAAAACCTGAGTTAGTTGGCTGATTATATCATCAAAACCAGCAACTCCATCTTCCACCTCTTGAACATTCTCCCTTTGGGGTTCTTGAACAACTACTTGTGTATCATTTGCACTAGCATTAGACCCCGGGCAACCACGTTTGTTGTGACCTTCAACACCACATACACTACATCTCACAGTTGTTTGTTGCCTCTTCATGACTTTTTCATTTTTATCAACTCTCAGCCTACCTCTTCCTCTTTTTTTCTTTTTTTGTTGATCTTCAAAGGGCCCTATTCTTATTGCTCCACCAGGCCTTCCCACACCTCTCCCATTATTGGGTGGTGCAAGTGCTTCTATTCCAGTTTCTAACCACTCTAATCTACCATTAAGAGGGAATATAACTGGTTCATAAACTTTCCTATAGGTCTCCAATCTATAATAGCCATGAGTGAAGTCCTTATAGTCTTTCCCCTCAGCATAGATAGCACATAGGGCATGACAACAAGGAATTCCAGTTAAATCCTATTTTCTACATGCACAACTACAGTTCTTCAAATCAACACTATACTTATGACCATCAGCACATGAAATGCTATAATAAAACTCATCTGATTTGATAGGAAAACAACCTCCAACCTCATTTTGGTTCTTTTGAATTATTTTTTGAATTTTAGGACAAAAATCACCTTTCCATTTTTGGGTGGCCCTATCTCTGTTCTTTTGCATCCTAGACATCAAATACTCCACCAACCATTCAAACATGGACAATATTGGTTTTTCCCTTGCCTCCAGAATATTTGAATTAAATGACTCACAACCATTATTTAAAAGCATGTCACACTTACTGAAATCTGAAAAATGTGACCTGCTCCATTGATGTGGTGGCTTGTCATTGAACCATGAAAATGCTTCACCACTCATTTTCTGAAAGCTTCCATTTTTCTTGTAAATTCAGGCACAGTAGTTGCTTTTGCAGCATTCCACAAGGCTACTTTGTATGCTTGTCCTCTCCAACCAGCCCTACTGAAATTTGAGTGCAAGTGCCTAACACAAAATCTGTGTTCTACATTTGAAAAAACTTCATCAAATGCTTGGATTAAGCCTTTTTGCTTATCAGACATGAAGGTATACTCATAGTCTATTTGAAGCTTCAAATCTCTCTTTAGAAAAAGCAAGAACCACTCCCATGTGTCCTTAGTCTCTTTGGAAACTACTGCCACTGCTATTGGGAATATATTGTTGTTCGGATCGACACCAACAGCTGTTAAGAGCATGCCTCCATGGGGACCTTTCAAATGACATCCATCCACACCAATAAAAGGCCTGCAACCTGCCATGAAACCATCCTTCAATTCCTTAAGACACAAGTATGCTCTGTCAAATCTCTTCTTTCCATATTCAACCTCAGACCCTATGATAATAGTACTCCCCGGATTGCTCCTTTTTATCTCTTCAGCAAAGTTCCATAAGAGGTTGAATTGCTCATCTGCACTCCCTTGAAGGGCTTCAACTGCTAGCTTTTTGGCCCTATATGCTTGAAAGTTACTGACTTGAACTCTGATCTCATCCATTGCATCTGCCCTAAAACCTTTAACCTTTCTAGTAGGATCTGAGTTGAACTTTTGAGCATACTTAGCAGACAACCAACTTGAAGTTAGGTTTTTCACCTTGTAAGAGGGAACACATGTATGTTCACTGAGATATGCCCTAATCTGAAAGGTTTCTTCACCATTCAACTTCAGAGCATGCAATTTCCACTTGCACCCTTCACCTTCACACTTTGCATGCATTCTTATCTTATCATTCTTTGTTATCTTGATGTTTCTCTTTGTGTTGATGGCATGAGAGTGAATGGCCTTTCTGAGCTCTGACTTGGTAGAGAAAATCATCCCAATGCTGAAATTTGGATTTAAAATATGAATAGGATTAAAACTACTGAGCCTATTTCTTTCAGCTTCACTGTCTGAACTGTTGAGACTAATAAGATCATCATCGCTTGACATTAGATTCTCCTCCTCAGATTGGTTAGTCTCTTCAACAACGATTTGTTGATTGCCTGGAAACCATTCCACCTCAGAATTTACAAAATTTTCGAACAATCCATCATCATCACCAACCTCTTCTTCTAACTCATAGTCATCATCCTCAAAATCGGAATACGATCCTTGACTAGCTGAAGACGACGAGGATGGCATTTTTGTCTTAATTTTTTCGGATTTGTGGAAAAATGGTAACTGGTACTGGTAAGAGCTAATATCTTGAAGATGATATTAGGGCTTTTCAAAAAGGAGGGAAAAGAAAGCAATTTTCCCTCCAAATTCAAGTAATTAGGGCAAAAAATGATGAAATTAGGGCAAAATGATGAAATTAGGGCATTTTGGTCTTTATGTTTGTGCCTCAGCTCCACGTCACACCTGTTTCAATTGGCTTCGGGTCCACGCAGGCAGCCACGTCCGCTTGAGGGTCTTAAATTGGCCCGCTGGGCCAAAAAGGACGAAATTACTGAATATTTTTAAGTTGCCGGACTAAACTTAAAAAGTCAAATTGAAGAGGAGCAAAATGAAAAAGGTATAAACATACAGGACCATTTGTCTAATTTTCCCTAGCATTTCCCATATATTTAATCACCCATAATTTGATATTACAAGCACTAATTACCGGTGAGGCAACACTAAAGGGACTTTTATTTTTTCCTTTTCCAAAAAGTCTCCACCTTTCCCTTCTTCATCATCATTTGATTGTTGACAAAATCAAGCAGAGACAAAATTACAAAGTAACAACAGCCCACCTCCAAAAGCCCTCTTCTTTTTCCGTCTCCTTTTTGCCTTCTTTTTTACTGCTAAACCATTTAAAGAAAACAGCACGCGCAAAAAACTCTGTAATTTTTGCCATCATCCCTTTTTCTTGGTTCCCTCGAAAGCTGGCATCTTCAGCTTCAAGAAGCGTTTTTTTTTTAGCTGATTAAATTTGCCCCCCACTTCAAATTTTGAGTTGTTTGTTTCATTTTGTTTGCCTATAGTTTTCGAATTTGTTGTCTTCTTTAAGTAGATTCCTAGGACGGACAAGAACAACGTTTGCAAAAATTGAAGGAAAAATGCAGACGGGGAGTTCAGGGGAACTGCGGTCGGCGTCTGGATCGACGGATACGAGAGGGAAACACAGGATTTCTGCTGAATTGAAGAGGCTCGAGCAAGAAACTCGATTCTTGGAGGTTTTTTTTTTTTATTTATCCTATGTTTTTTTTTTTTTTTTGTGCTTTGAATTGGACCATTTTTGACTTGTTTGAATGATTAGGAAATTGTTTGTTTTATGTTCCTATTATCTGGGATATCAAAATTCGAGGTGCCCTTGTTGAGTTTGAGTTGTGAAAGGTGAAGTCTTTTGTGGTTGTCTCTTGTCTGATTGGTGGTGAAGAACTGCAGGGAATTGAACTTCTTGTCGTCTTGTTCGTGTAACACTAGGAAAAAGTGAAACTCTGGTGTCTTCGAAAAATTGGTTATCTTGTTGGAATTTTGTACTTGAACTAGGACAACTAATTGATGCTGTGTTGAGAGTTTGTTTTGGGTGGGTGCTTCAAATTTTCTTGCGAAAAGAGTATGATTATTCCGTGTTGAGGGTATACGTATTTGCTTGCAATGAAAAAGAACGCGTACATACTCTGGTTAGTGATCTTGTGCACAAAACTGAAATGTGGAGAATGAAGTTCTACTCCACGAGACTGGACGGGCACGCGTATAATTTGAGTAAGCACGCGGTTTTTTAGTTGTTTCAAGGCATAACAGTCGTCCCGTCCGGTGAAAATGTCTTATAGGAACTGAAACAAGAAATATGAAGTGCTTATTGGCTACAAAAGTTGTAAAGTTTGGTATATTCGAAATAGATTTCTGAATTTCATATTGTATTAAAGAATATGAATTCACATAGCATATGATTTCTTTATATTTTCTGCTTGTGACACTCACCAACATAAGTATATTTCAATAGAATGAAATGAGTTTGTTTTCTCATTAATAAGCATTGTAGCCAAAGGATAGCGTGAGTCTTGGTCGATAATGGTGTTTGCAGTTATGGCTTTGATAATAAGCAATGTGTGGTATTTGGTGGAATAGATAATATTCTTATTTCCGATATTTGGGTGCGCAGGAAGAACTGGAAGAGCTCGAGAAAATGGATAAAGCTTCCGCAGCCTGTAAGGAGTAAGTGAAGAAAATTAAGGATGGATTCCAAAATACTTGAAAGAAAATTGAGGGAAAAAGTATCATTGATTGATCAAAACGTAAAAAAAATCTAAAAGTGGTTTTAAATTTCTGATCTTGCTTTCAAGTCGCACACCGATTAGATACATTCGCCAAACACCTTTTTAAACTTATTCGCCTTTGAAATTTCTCTTTGTAAGCACGGTGCATATTATGTAGACTTTTGCTGAACACTAAATTTTCACCACTTCAAATTTCTGCATGATGTGAACCTCGTAACATTTATGTGTAATTCTAACCAGGATGGTGACTAATGTTGAAACGAGACCAGATCCATTAGTCCCGGTGTAAGATCTTGAGCTCGGTTTTCATAAAAGTTGGAAGTACTTCTAGTCGAGTATGTACTACTTGGAGATTTGTTTATTATCATGTCTGCTTTTTTTTTTTTTCAGAACAATTGGTCCACCAAATCCATTATGGGACAGATGGTTTGAAAGACCGAAAGATTCCTCTGGATGTCGATGTTGGATACTATGATGTTTCACCGATAATATACCCTTTGGACATGACTTGTTTTGTGGGAAGCAGAACAAAAAAACCCTTCATCCAATATGCAGAAAATCTCAATTCTTGATAATTGCTAATTTTATAGGGGATTTTGGATATTGAGATGGAATTCAGGAAGAAAAAAATGAAGTTTTAGTGCCAAAAAAACTTCTGAGGTTTTATGGACTTCAATTGTAGCCTTAATTGATTACAAGATTTATGTCATTTGTTTTGTCCCTTCTTATCATTATCTTTTATTTTCCTTTTTTTTTTTGTCTTGAAAAGGGACCTATAAATAGCACAACAATTACATCATCTCTCTCTCTCTCTCTCTCTCTCTCTCTCTCTCTCTCTCTCTCTCTCTCTCCTTCAATTTCCAGTAACTCTCTGTGCAATCCAACCCAGGCCATCATACAGGCCTTCCCCAGTTAAGGCACAGCAAGCCTGAATGTGCCAAACTGCCAATCATGATTCTTTATGCTGTGCAGGGAAAGTGCATCCGTTTATTTCGGCAAGGTTCATCGCATCCTTAAGGTCCTGTTTATTTGCAAAAACAAGCACAACCGCGCTTTGTAGATCTTCGTGCAGTAGCAGACCGAATAATTCATCTTTCATTACGGAGATCCGAGCCCTATCTGTGCTTTCTATTACAGCTATTACGGCGTGTGTGCCTCGGTAGTATGTGGCCCATGATGTCCTTAGCCTCTCTTGTCCGCCAAGGTCCCACACCTGATGAGAACAAACCACGAAATACCAAAGTCGAAATGCAATACAAATCAAATCACTCATGCATTTCAAACTGATTCGGCGAAATGCAATACAAATCAAATCGCTCATGCATTTCAAACTGATTCGGCCCATATCAACCATCGCAACAAGATTAAGAAGGGAAAAAAAAAAAGGGAATTATCTGCAGTATTCGATCAAATCACAACGAAAGTCATGGAAAGTACAATCACCTCGAACCGAATGTTCTTGTATACAAGCTCCTCAACGTTGTTGCCGACGATTGGGTGCGTGGTGACCACCTCCCCCAAATGGAGCTTGTAAAGCGTCGTCGTTTTGCCGGCGTTATCGAGGCTGACCACCACGATCTTGTACTCCTTCGCTCGGAATAGCATGAACCACACCTTCGGCACCAGTGCCCCCATTGAAGTTTTTCGCAATTGATCGAAGTTTTACTATCAATACATAACACAAATTATTGTGCACAAGAGACTAAAGAAGAAAAAAAAAAAAAAGAGAAAAAGGACTACACGAACAAAACGCAACACGCACATATAAACTGACTATCTGATGTAGACGTGTCTAAATGCCGGGCCGGGACCATGGGCGAAACCATGTACATGGTTGGAGAGGCGCGGGCCCCTCCAAAAAAAAAATTAAACTAGGGGTAGAAGATTTTGCTGGAACTGAAGATTTTCCTTTGAGCTCGCATGTTGGGCCCTCTCCGGTTTCATGCGGTACATATATGGCCGGAGGGACGCCACCGATTTTGTCGTGAAAATTAAAGGCAAATTGGGCCCTCCCTGAAACGGGATCCTGGTTTCAGGACAAGGAGAACTATAACAGCAGCAGAATTTAATAATATTTTCATTTTTATTATATTTTGAGTTGGTTAATTAGCCGACTTGCGATGTACCGACGAGATTCAAAAACCGAGTCGATCATTACCGAAAAATACTTTTATGAAAGTACGGGAAGCGGAGAATGCGTTGGTGGCATCGATTTATGATTTTGAGGTCTCGACCATTTATTTTGGGTAGCCCGAAGTTGAGAGGAAAATGGCAGTGGCGGTGATTTTATTGTCATTTTCATGTCTAGACTTCGGGTAACCGTCGGCCCTCGTTAGGCATGCTGAAAATTTGGGGGAGTGCTCTGAAAGCACGAGAACAATAGAAGTTGTTTGTAAAATTTATTTCACATTTCGAAGTTTCGAGCATATATTTTGAGAAGCTCGAAGTCGAGTGCGCATAATAGAAGAATAAAAAGCCGTTTTTGGGGTTCCGTAAGGTTGCGTGTGACCTCGGTTTAACGAGAATCGAGTTGGAGCGTGTAGACAATTCAAGCACAATTCCATACGGATAAATTTCGCATTTTTCGGAGTTCCGAGCATTTATTATGAGAGTTTGAATTTCTTCGTTAAATAGTATCAAAATGAGCAAATTTGTCGAGGACGAATTCGATCGTTCGAGGCTTCGTTTTCTCAATTTTTTTAGCTTTTCGTCTATTCGAAATGAGGTATAATTTTTTATTATTATTATAATTGAGTCCGAGATTTTTTTTAATATAAATTCGAGTATTTTTCGAGTTAAAACAATTGAGTTTAAATATACCAGTTTAATTCCGGACTTAGTTTGATTTTTAGAAAAATCTAGAGTATTCCTTTATATCCTGCGAAATTTTTTGAGAGCATCTACAAAAGTTCTTTGAGCGCCCTTCCGATGCCGGAGTGGGGGTGGTGCGCCGCGGGATGGCCGGAGTGGGGGTGATGCGTCGCGGCAAATTGGGCCCTCCCCAGGATGACGGCTGGTTTCGCCACTGGCCGGGACTGGTTCACAACCCGGCCCACGAGTCCTGTTCAAAGACCAGGACATATGAGTCAGTTCCATGCCAGGCTTGGGCCGGTTTAGGGTCGACCCGGCAGTCCGGGCCGATCCTGGACGATGGAGAAATGACGATCTCATGATAAAGTTGTAAACATAGATGTTAAACAAGCACGCCCCGCGTGCACCTAGCACACCAACTTCCCAGCCGACTTCTTGTTTTCTCCGCCTACACTCTCACTAAAACCTCCCCCACGGCGCCGTCCACGGCGGACCTTAGCCTCCCCATGGCGCAATCCCTCAACCTCTTCCTTTCCATCCCTCACTCCACCAAACCCTCTCTCACCTCCCTCAGTACCGCTCCCCGTCTCGCCCCTTCGAAGAACCCCAGCAGGACAGCCCTCTGCATCAGGGCCTCCGCCGTCTCGGACCCCAATCCGGATGTGCTAACATCCTCAAACGGGGCCGGCGGTGATTTGTCCGCGTATCCTTTCCGAGCGGCCTCCGATTCCGGCTCGATCGACGTGGACGCGGTGACCGAGGCAGAGCTGAAGGAGAACGGGTTCCGGAGCACGCGGCGTACGAAGCTGATCTGCACAATAGGGCCGTCCACGTGCGGGGCGGAGCAGCTGGAGGCGCTGGCGGTGGGCGGGATGAACGTGGCGAGGATTAACATGTGCCACGGCACGAGGGAGTGGCACCGGGAGGTGATTGGGCGGGTGAGGAGGCTGAATGAGGAGAAAGGGTATGCGGTGGCCGTCATGATGGATACGGAGGGGAGCGAGATTCACATGGGGGATCTCGGTGGTGCCCCGTCCGCCAAAGCTGAGGTATTGATGGAAATGTAAATGGCGAATGCCCATTATGCAACTGATTTGCATTTATACTAAGTTTATAGCGGTGCCTCTACTGAAAAGATGAATTTTAACCCAAAAAGGAGGTTTAAATACTGAAATAGTGCAGTGTTTTGAATGGTGATTTGTAAGGTGGGAATCACATTACATGTTTGAATCATATTACATGTTTGTAAAAGTGATTACCTATAAGGAATGGGAAATATGGCATCATATTCGCAGACTTCATTATGAATATTTATCAATTGGGAACTTAGAAAATAATAAGGAAACAGTTCGAAATTAGTCAATAATGTGATGTAAGGTGCTCCTTTCGTGCAGTCCTAGAATGGATGAAACGAGTCCAAGAATGAACTTTTATGTTTATATCATGAAAATAGTATTTTATGAAGGTTTCTTTACTTGCTTTGTAAATTTGTAATCGGAAACATAACCAAAATAAAAGTATTTATTAGTTAGTATAGTTTGAATTATATAGGATTGTTTTTTTAATTGTGGAATTTCTGGTAACACTATAATAGATACTGAATCATTTCTACTTTTGTATAAACTTACATATTCGTTATAAAAATGTAGTATCATTAGTTGAGTATTATGCATATATAAAATGTGCACTAATCATTTCATAAGGCCAAGATGTGTGCTTAGAACAAATACAAGTTTTTAGCTTATTTGTATGCACATGCAGAGTATATGAAAAGTTTGAGAATTTTCGTTTACAAAATTTTTGTTTGTCCCTATTACTACTACCCGCATGCATAACTATAGGAATTAATCTCGCAACAACTGTCATCACTGAAATTGAGCAGCATTCTTTTATTCATGGAAATATCCTTTTGTTTCGTGACATTAGTGATAGGATACTATATTACATGCCTAAGACTTTATGTACAGTCTGAGTTTAAAAGTTCAATAATATATAACCAAACAGCTTACAAGTACCCTAAGTATCTTATAAGCTCCAAAGCTTGTAACATATAGTTTAAGCTCAACCCCATTTTTTCGTACTAGGCTAAGTAATTTTCTTTAGGAGATGCATGGTGTACTTTCAGATTTGGAGAGCGATGAATTAAAGACCTTTACTTTGCAACTTATAACTAGCTCTTCTTTTTGGTCATTTGCAGGATGGTGAAATATGGACGTTCAGTGTAAGAGCTTTTGATTCGGCTCTTCCAGAGCACACTATTAATGTGAGCTATGGTGGCTTTGCTGAAGGTTAGAATAACATTTCATTTTCTAATGGAGTTATACTCAATTAGTCTTCGCAACCATCATTATTGCCCTTTGTTTTGCATGATTTTTCTTTGCTAATTAAGCTACTCAATTCCAATAAGACAGATGTAGAGGTAGGAGACGAGCTTCTGGTAGATGGTGGAATGGTGAGGTTTGAAGTGATTGAGAAAATTGGTCCAGATGTAAAGTGTCTCTGTACTGATCCTGGACTTCTACTACCCCGGGCTAATCTTACCTTCTGGCGTGATGGGAGTCTAGTACGTGAACGTAATGCTATGCTACCAACGATATCTTCTAAGGTTTGTGGCTATCCTTCAGCTAATTTTTCTTCACATAGCAATTTCACTGGTATCAAATTATCTTTTACTCAAACAAACTTGTCTCAGTATAACATATTGTTCTATGGGACAAACTTGATCCTTTGATATTCTTTGTATATATTGCGTAGTAAATGACATGTGGTGGTGTACCACTATATAAATATACATGACAGTCCGTGTTAATTAGACAAAGCTAGTTCTTTTGGAAAATAATTTTTTTTCATTGAGGAATAATTTTGAACACATTAATACATTTTTTTTATTAGGTTTGTAGTCTATCTCTAAGTTCCTTCCTAATGTGCTGTTATCTTATTATATTTATGATAGACTTGCTAATTTTGGACTTTTATGAATGCAATTAATATTCGAGGTTGTAAAAATGATTGGTGAAAACTTTTGCTAGTTTAGCATGTATCTTGTGGCCATATATGGAATGACCTTGAGGTATAAATCAAAGAAACATTTTTTTTTTAAGTTTTATTCCAACGAAAACAAGATATAATGTATGCTACCTGTATAATGTATTTAAAGCATGCGTATATTTGCCTTGGAAAGTTCCTTTCAAACTTTAAGAAAAAAGGAAAATAATACATTATTTTATTAATGTATTATTAATTATGTTGGTTAAGATAAGATTCTTTGATCAAGGTTGACAGAATAACCTTGGGGCTTAAGAAAGAGTTTAGGATTAATAATGTTTTTTTTTTTTTTTTTTATGTGCATTTTTCATTATTCACTATTCAGATAGCAAGGGAACGACAACGCTTTCACAAAATCAATATTTTTGTTTGTAATTTTGTTGAAACGAAATAGGAGAGTTCATATGAAGGGGGTCACGTAAAACTGGGTTTTGGTGAATTTAGACAGCTTTGTCTTCGTGGGAAATGCAGGAAATTGTAGGGATTCAGAAGGTATCGATCTATCCTTACTGGTGTGGGAAGAACAGAATTTTGTTTTAAACAGGCTGAGGAGCTGCTCGTTCATGTTATCCTTGTAACTTGCCGTTTGGCAGTTGATTGACCTCTTTTCATTAACTTTTTTATTGATTCACCCTCACTGTCAGGCATTTTTCTTTTAACTTGCATTTGGCTGTTATTTGAACTAATTTTGAATACGTTTGTACAGTTCAATCACTCTAACTGTTTGGCATCATTTCTCAGGATTGGTTGGACATTGATTTTGGGATTGCTGAAGGTGTTGATTTTATTGCCATATCATTTGTCAAGTCCGCCGAAGTCATAAAACATCTTAAGAGCTATATTAAAGCACGCGCTCGTGATAGGTGAGTTATCAACACCATTATTTCAAATTATTTCCCCCTGGCAAAAGCAAAACCCCTAATATGCTCGTATATGATGTTATTCCATTTTAGTAAATAATAACAATTTCTTTAAGCAATAAAATCCCCAGTTATAAATAATACCCTTAAAATGATGTATATGCAGACTATTGGAGACAATATCCAAGTTTTTCATGAAGCAATTTTTATTACTAGGATATGCAAATGACAAAAACCGAAATGCTAAAATGCAGTGACATCTCCGTAATTGCGAAAATAGAAAGTATCGACTCGCTCACAAACTTGGAGGAAATCATCCGAGCATCAGATGGTGCCATGGTGGCAAGAGGAGACCTTGGCGCCCAAATCCCCTTAGAACAGGTCCCGTCTGAACAGCAGAAAATAGTCCGAGCCTGCAGGAAGTTGAACAAGCCCGTGATCGTTGCAAGTCAGCTGCTCGAGTCCATGATAGAGTACCCCACGCCCACAAGGGCTGAGGTGGCTGATATTTCCGAGGCAGTCCGCCAGCGGTCAGATGCTCTGATGTTGTCAGGTGAGTCGGCCATGGGTCAGTACCCGGAGAAAGCACTGACTGTTTTGAGAAGTGTGAGCCTGAGGATTGAGAAATGGTGGAGAGAGGAGAAAAGGCATGAGGCAATGGAGCTGCCCGGCATAGCATCTTCCTTTGCCGACAGTATCTCAGAAGAGATATGTTACTCTGCTGCTAAAATGGGTAAATCAACTTGTCTGTCTTCATTTTTCTTTGTATTTAGCAACGTGGAGATGTTGTAAAATGCATATCATTACAAAACTTCCCTTGAGGTTCTAGTAATTAGGTTAGGAAAAACTCTTGTTATTGCTTTGAAATTACCAATATGAACGTCTGTGTTCCTGTCAAGTAGCTCCTTCTCTTGGGGGTGCAATTTGTAGAAGAAGTGATGGTTGTGTAGGTGTTTGTGGTTTTTGAATATGACTAGATTTTGTTGTAATTAGGCTAGACCTAGACCTTGTGGATAGTGTTGTTGAGGGATAATTTTCAAAGAAGCCTCTGCAGTTTGAGCTAGTTACAGAGAACCCTAACGTTTTTCAAAAATTACAAAACCCCCCTCGAATTTTGCTTTTGTCTATAAAGGAGAAGTACGAAGAAGCCCCTGATATTTGAGCTAGTTACAAAGACCCCGACGGTTTTTGAAAACTACAAAAACCCCCCATGAAGTTTGTCCTTCTCTTACATCTTACTCATTTGCGTGCTAAAATATTTCAAAATCTTCGTAACAAAACAAACCACCGGGGTTCTCTTTAATTTTAAAAATATTTGTAAGTACTTTCCGGTTTCTGATAAAACCGTTGTGCTTAGTATATTATGAGATTGATATTATTGTTGTGCAGAGAATCCACATTAGCTTTCCTTTTTTTTTTTTCTTATTTTTCTTTTTTAAATTTTGTTCGTATCGTCTATCAAACTCTCACTCATCTATGTTGATTATTAAGTGCTAATTTGAGGATCTTATATTGTAGCCAACAACTTGGGGGTGGATGCTATATTCGTTTACACAAAGAGCGGTCACATGGCGTCCCTCCTGTCACGCTGCCGACCCGACTGTCCGATATTTGCATTTACCACGACCACATCAGTACGTAGGCGCCTCAATTTGCAGTGGGGCCTCATACCTTTCCGTTTGAGCTTCTCCGATGACATGGAAAGCAATCTCAACAAGACTTTCTCTTTGCTCAAGGCCCGGGGGATGATAAAATCTGGTGACCTGGTTATTTCTGTCTCTGACATGTTGCAGTCAATTCAAGTTATGAACGTCCCGTGAGATTTTGCTTCTCCTTTTGTTGGCAGAGATTACTCGGTTTCTCAAGAGCATTAACCCTATTTGCTTTATTTTGTACCAAATGTCGAGTTTTTTTTTTTTTTTTTTTTTTTTT